CTAAAGAATCTTTTAGTTTGAATATTGAAATTATAACTAATCAAATAATGCATCATAAATATGGATTATATATTTATTATAAAGTAGATGAAAAAAAAATATTTTTATTTTTTGAAGAATTTGCAATACTTTATAATTTAAATGCTGCAAATTATGATTTAAATAGTGTTTTAAATTTATTAGCTTAAATTAAATTACTCTAAAGTTTTAATATTTAATATTTTTAGAAATATAATTATTTAATCAGTATATTATACTGATTAGATTTTTTTTTATATAATTCTAATAATGTCCAAGAGAAAATGCCCATAAGATAAAAAAATTAAACAAAATTATAAAATTCAAAAGACAAAGAAAGCTGATAAAAAAATCTGATGATATAGAGATAATATAAATATAAATTATTGACAACTATTATTATTTCCAGATGATAATAAACATATCACTGAATATGTTCAAGTTAAAATAACAAAAGATAAAAAATTTCTAGTTGATTTAAAAAATAAATTTCTTATCAAACTATTTTATTTTATTTTTGAAAACAAAACTATTATCGATAAATAACCAAAATATCTTTATTAAAAATATTATATTCAGAGACAAATATTGATAAAATTAAATTCAAAAATAATTGTAAACTTGATTTTCATGCTTCTAATATTAAAATTATTGATGAATGAAATTTATTTATTATTATTCTAAAAATAGCTTTTCAAAAATTATATAAACCCTCTTATTTCTCTTTAATTTTTTTATTTTTTTAATAGAACCTGAATTATTATTTTATCAATTATTAAAATTATTTATTTTATATTTTATTGTATATAAAATAACAACTGCACTTATTGTTAGTACTATTATAATTAAAATCAAAAATCTAATTAGTCTAATGACTGATTAGAATTTTATTTATGTAATTAAATCTTTGATTAACTTAAAAGGTAAGAGAGATTCACAATCTGTAATAAACTTTACTTTATGTAATAAATTTTACTAACTTCTACTTTCACTAACTCAGCTACTTCATAATGGGATTGGTTGTCAACTGGTATTCATAATTGTGATTCATTTATTTGAATTATGAAATGAATGTAAAGAATTTGTTAATAGATATTCTGAAGCTTTGTATAAAACTTTTTATACAAAGATTGAGGCTCAAAATTATATTGATCAATAAAAAATTGATGATTTTAATGATAAAATTAATGTATGGACTAATGGATATTGTAAAAGAAATAGTTTATCCAATCCAATTGAAGAAATTGGAGTATTTTTTAGTGATAATGATAATAGAAATCTATCTGAATGTTTATCAGAAGTTCAACAAACTAATAATCGAGCAGAATTATATGCAGCAATTCGAGCTCTTGAAATATGTGATAAAAATAAAAATTTAATTATAAATATAGATAGTATATATGTTATTAATTCATTTAATGTTAGAAAACCAAAAAAAATTTTGATTTAGTGAATAGATTTAATGATTTAATTAAAGAACATAAAGGTAAAACATATTTTAAATATATAAAAGGATATAGTGGTGTTTATAAACATGAGCAAGCAGATAGATTAGCATTACTAGGATCAAAAAATTTAGCTATTGAATTAATTTTATCAGAATCCAAAAATAGAATTAAATATTTTTTCAATTAATGTATTTAAATTATTATTTTTTTTAATAAATATTAAAATTATTTTTTTTTAATAATATTTATTCAAAAATCAAAATGCAATACATATTAAGTGATTGGGAGTATGAGGAGTCTAATCAAAAATATATATCAAATATCAATTCGTATTTTCAAAATGTTATAAATTTAAATTTTTAAATACTAAATTAATCCCATTATAAGCACATGTGAGGCTAGCAAAAGCAAAAAAAAAAAAGCATGTTGCAAGCAAAATAAAATATAAAAATATTTTAGTTTGTAAATAAATTTTATAATTTTTAATTTAATAAAATGTTTATAAATATATAATGATAAAAAAATAAATATTTTTTAAATAATGGAATTAAATTAGGAAAATAAGTTTAAGAATTTCAAAGTTATTACAGATTGGGAAAAATATACAAATCTTGATAAACCAAAACATAAATTAAATGAATATTAACTTGTGAAAATTGATTTCAAATTATTTTTTAAGTCAAAATCCAAAAAAAAAAAATTACATTTTTATGTAATTTTAAAAATTTCAATTTCATACAAAATTATACTTGGTATTCTTACAAAGGAAAAAATAATAATACTTATTATATACAGACATATAATAAAGAAAATAATTATAAAACTTTACAATTTCATCGAATGGTTTATCCAGACTGAAAAATGATTGATCATATTAACAGAATCAGAATAGATAATTGCAAATGTAATCTTCGAGAAACAACATCACGATTAAATTGTTTAAATTGTAGATTACAAAGAAATAATTCATCTAATTATAATAGAATCTATTATTATAAAAGTAATAATAGAAAGGCTTAGTGTTTTAATTGGAATAAAAATAATAAATATAAACATAAAAAATTTTTTATCACAAAAAATAGAACTAGTGAAAAAGCAAAACAACTAGCAATCAAATTTAAACTAAAATATAATAAAAAAACAGGCAATAAAAATAGTTATTTAATAGAATATAAGTAATTTTGTATAACTTTAAAAATTATAAAATCACTTTATTTTTTTAGGTTTGTAAATAAATTAAAAATGAATAAACTTTTAACTAAAATGATATTTAGAATATTTAATTTCTTGGATAATAAATCAATGTTATATTTTGCATTAACTTGTAGCTTTTATAAAAGAAAATTTGATAAATATATATTTCTTCAAGTTAAATGTAATGTATGAATACAATATTCAGTCAATTACAGCATTTATTCACAAGAATTAATAGCAACAAAAATATATTTACCAAAAACTAAAAAAGGAAAATGATCATATGTAGAATTTTCTGATGATCAATTACCATGTGACTGATGTATTATAAAGAAAAAATGTGGATGATGTGATTTTAAGAAACAATGTGAACATTGTATATTAGATAAAATTAAATGTATATGCACTAGTAAAAGTGTTCAAAAACTATTAAGTAGAGATATAAAAAGAAATTTTTATTGTGTTTCACTTTATAATAAAGAAGAAAAATTAATAGCAGTACGTAAATAGGAGGTTGAAACAAGATAATGTAATAAATGTAATTTTTATAAAAAATGTAGTCAGATGCCTGTATTTAGTAGATATAATATTCCTTCATGTAATTTATATTTTAGAGATAGTGTTATAGATATTTATTATAATTATCAGATTAATCATTATCATAATTTATATAAAGAATGTTTTAACAAATTTTCAAAAGAAAATACAATTCTATTTGTAAATAATTTTGTATGGAAATCAATATAAATAAATTATTTATTATTCATATAATTATTTATAAATTTAAAAAAATGTTTAATAAATTTATTATTATTATCAGATTTTTTTGTTTTTTTTGTTTTTGCTTTTTGAGTTTTAGATGTTTTTTTTTTGTTTTTTTGTTCTAGGTTTACAAGTTGTATTAGTTTTCTTTTTAGGTTTTTTTGATCATTTTTTAATAAATTCAAGTAATTTTTTATAAGTTTTATTTATTTCTTGAAATTTTTTAGTTGCTTCTGCAATATTGTTAGGATTTTTATCAGAATGCCATTTTAAACTTTGTTTATGATAAGCTTTTCTAATTTTAGCTTTAGTAGCAGTTTCTTTTATTTTTAAAATTTCAAAATAAATTAATATTTTTGATTTTCTCATTTTTAATTATTATTCTTAAAATAAAAATCTTTATATTTATAAAAAATATAAATATGAGTATATTTAATTTATTTTAAGATAAACAAAATAAAGTTTAAATTTTTGTTAGTTTTAATTTTTACATTAAATGTATATTCTAAAAAAATATGTAGATGTCATTACAATTGGAATCAATATACAAATTGCTGTTCAAAAGAAAAAGAATATATAAATGAAAAATCAAGTAATATAGATTTATATCAAATGATGTTATTTGAAATAATTAATGCAATAAATGAAAGAATTAATACATTATCTTAAAAAATTCCAAAAGATGAACCATAACAACAACCAAAACAACTACAATAACTAAAACAACCACAATCACAACTAAAACAACCACAATCACAATCACAATAACCAAATATTCTATTAATAAATATAATATTTTCTGAAATTAAAACAGTAAGTAAAATGGAAGATGTGATTACTAGTAAGATTCGACCTGAAAATTTGAATTTAGCAGAAACAATACAATATAATTCTTATTTAGCTTGATTAGATTTATTAAAAGATATGCAAAATGATCAAGTTATAGATTCTTTTACTAATAATAGAGAATGAAATTTGCTATAGAATTAAATTTATCATAAAATAATTATAATATAAATTGAAATACATTACCAGTAAATTATAAACAAATAACTCATTTATATTAATATACTTTACAATATAAGAAAATGTTGGAACAATTACCAAACAATTTACAAGTATATTATAATCAAGAAATAGAAGATGTTCGATATAATCCAGATATAATATCTGTAAATTATAACAGAAATATGATTGTTAAAAGACTTAATACTATAAAACAAATTTTTAATTTGATGTATCAAGTATTTTTAGAAGCTAAAAGTATATTAGAAGCTAAAGAATTATATTTAACATGGAATCAATATATTGAAAATAATTTTCAAGATAATGAGTTTCTTAAATATCAAACTAATACAGCTCATTATTTAGCAATTTTATTTGCTGAATGGATTAATGTAAATGTACAACTAGGAACAAATATTGATTTGTTAAATGATATTTTAGAATCTATAGTTGGTAATAGACATTAAATAAATAATGATAGTAGTAATAATAAAGAAAGACCAAAACAATGTCCAAGAGTAACTTAAAAAATATAAATATTATACTTTATCTTAAATGTAAATTAATAAAATGAATAAATTTATTGTTTTATTATTTTTGTTATTTTTTACAAGTATATATGAAGCAAGAACTAAATGATCAAGAGAAATAATTCAACCTCAAATTGTTGTTTTACTAAAATTATATACTTGAAATTAAAAAACTGATAAATATAAAGTTATTTTAAAGAAAAATAGTAATTTAACTAAACTTTATCCTGGAGGAATATATATTCAAAAATTTAATAGTAAAAGCTCTACTCCAATATATCAACTAGTTCATAAATCTAAACAATTACAAACACAAATAGTAAAAAGAAAAATACAGAAAAAATTAAAATTTAATGCCTTATTGTATTAATACAGAATGTTTAGAAATTTAAAAAAATATAAATAGTCTCATTTTATATTTTTCTTTTTCTAAATGGAAGCTGCTTTTTTATAGAAGTTAATATTTATTTTAGCTAGTATATTTTTATTTTTTACAATAATAATTTAATTAACATTAATACATTATATTTATAAATTTGAATTTATTAATATTATAAATATAATTATACTTTATATATGACAAGCATTACAAGAAATAATAAAATTTATTGATAAAATTTAATCAAACTGCTGCTAAAAAATCTAAACCAAAAGTGAAAGCAAAATCTAAATCTACTAAATCTAAAACAAAAGAATCGAGTGTTGCTAAAAGTAAGCAAATTAATAAAAAATCAACAACAAAAATAGAAAAAAATCAAACAAAAAGACAAAAATTACCTATATTAATTAGTTTATCACCTAAATAAAAAGTTAGTGGTTGTTCTAATTGTTGAAAATACAATCATTATCAAGTTATTTAATGGTTTTAATAGCATTGACAACATCAAAAAAAAGAAAACTTAATGATTATAATTTAACAACAAATAGTTCAAAGATTTAAAAAATAAATAAATATTTACTTGGTTCATGTGAAGATGAAAAAGAATTTACAATTTGTCAAATATCATGACTATTTGGATATTTAAGTGATAAAATAGAATTTGCCAATTAAATATTTTTACCTGTAGATATACGATTTTATGTATTTTTATTATTACAGAAACAAAATAAAACATCTACTTCATTTAGATTATTGGATTTTGTTGATTAGTTTCATTTATACCAAAAACTGATATACAATTAAATATTCCTGAAACTAAAACTCCATTATCACTATTATTTTCACCTTTTAAGATTGATCTTTATTTAACACAAATTTGTGAAGAACAGTTAGCAAAGAAAAAAGATCTTACAATTGAAAATGTATTAGTTAATCCTTCAGATTTAATATATTACAAATTTAAAGAAAAGATTATATCTATAGTAAATTATAGTATTGTAATACTATGTGATAATAGATGTACTTTTAATAATCATGTAATAACAATGTGTCGAAGATTTGCTAAAGATGAGAAAAAAGTTTGTATTCTTTCAAAAGGAACAAATAAAAATATAATTTATAATACTGCAAATCTTTGTTTAATAATTATTATAGATTATATGGATTATTTATATTAATTAAATGTGAGAAATAAAGATATGCTATATAATAATAAACTTAAATTAGATGCAAATCTTGAAGATGGAGGAACTGGCTATTCAGTATTTTTCACTAATGGATTTATTAAAATAGCATATACTTTAAATTATCAAAATTATTTATCAATGCAAATGATGACACAACATCTTAAAACTGAACTTACTGATGCAGTAAAAGAATTTATTAAAGCTAAAGTTAAAGATGAAAAACTAGAAGATAATGACATATAATTTTATTTTATATTATATTTAGTTTTTATTATTTTATTTTAAATTATATTATTTTTATTTGTTTTATTTTATTTTATTTATTATACAAAATAAATTATATAAATACTTGTTGAATTTAAAAATGTTTTTGTATAAATGTTATTATAATTATAAACTTTTTGAAAAATGTTGTGCTGTAAAAATATGTGAAAAAGAGAATAAAAAAATAAATCAATCTAATTTTCAAGAATATTTATATATTGCATTATATGGATCAACAAAAACTCTTATTAATGAACAGAAATTTAAAAATATTTTTATTAATAAATTATTTTTAAATAATGAAAAACAAGAATCTAATAATAATGAAAATTTACTAAATGATTTAAATAATAATGAACAACAATTACCTAATGAAGAAAATCAAAATAAAAAAATATCTAAAAATCAAAATTAAATTCCTGAAAAAAATAAAGAACAACAAATTCAAGATAATACTATTTAATTGAAAATTTAAAAAAAGCAATAAAGATTCAAATTTAGAAAATTTATTTTTAAATGAACAAATTTATAAAGATATTACAAATTCTTTATTAATATAAAATAAAAAAATAGAACTTCGAGATGAACATAAGCAAAAGTTAAATAATAGAATTAATGAAATGATAAAAGAAACAGAGAATATTGATAATTTGAAAAAAAATCAAGTTTTAGATAATTTGATAAAATGTTCAGATATAACATTTCACGAAAGAAATTTATTACAACAAAATAGAAAAGTAAAATTAAATAAATTACAACAAGAGCTTTTAAAATATTACAAAGAAATAATTAATCAAACAGAAGTTCTATTACAATTACAAGAAATTCAATTAACAATTGGAAATAAAGAAAGATTAACAGCAAAACAAAAAGTAACTTTATTTAATTTAGTAAATGAAAAATTTCTGAGAAATACACAACAAGAAAAAATTAAAAATATTCAAGAAAAAATTGAAAAAGAAACTAATATTGTTAAATTACAAGTTGATATAAAAAAAAGAAATTAATAATAATAAAGATCTTACCAATCAACAAAAATGAAATTATATAATATATGTAATGATAAAATAAGAAATTTATATAGAAATACAAAAATAATAAGAATGCAACAAGAAATAGAAAATGAAAGTTTTCTTGGTAATTTATTAGATGAAAGACATCATGATAAAATGATTCAACTAAATACATCATTAAATAAAGATCAAAAAAAATTATTACAAGATTTAAGAAAACAATGCTTAGTTTTGTTGATCAATAAAAATTATGATTCTTTATTAATTAAGATACAATAATCAAAAGATACTGATAGATTATCAGATAATAATTATTATATTAATCAAATAAATAAAGTTAGAGAAGAATTTTTAGAAGGTAAAAGATCACAAGAAATATTAAATAGAACAAGATGATCATGATTAGATTTTCTTTATAGTAATAATAAGAATCAAATATATAATTTAATATTAGATTTAATTAAAAATAGTAAAAATATTAATGAAATATCAAGTAATTTAGAAATTTTACAAGATATAAATGTATTAAATCAAATATTATTAACTGAAAATCAAAATTTAGTTATATTAGAAAATATATGAAGGCAATATTATAATGATAGATTATATGATATTTTAAGATCAGCAATTGAAAATAAAAAAGATGTTAAAAAATTAAAAAATATTTGGTTAGAAGCAATTGATAAATTAGAACAAGAATATTTAACAAATGATCAAAGTAAATTAATACTTTAAGAATTATTAAATATAAAACTTCAAGAATTACAACAACTACCTAAACATCTACAAGCAAAATATTCTATTAAAGAAGTTGAAAGTAATAATTCAACAAGTTCTGATAAAGCAGACTAAGAACATAATTTAGCAGGAACAGTAGATCAACAAATAACATATATAATTAATCAATATAGAAAAACTTTAAGTGCTGAAGATCAAAGAAAATATTTTCCTCAAACAAAAATTAAATTTATTGCTGAAACTATTAAAAAGACTTATGATACAATATGAGATAAGTGATTATTATTAGATGTTCTATATTATAAATGAGTATTAGGAAAAGAAGATTCATTTTTATTTAAAAAGAATTTTAAAAAAACAAAAATTAATAAAACAAAAAAATTAATTGATTTATTAAATAATTATTTATATGAAGAACCTAGAAAGAAAGCAATAATATCAAGAAAAAGATTAAGAAAACATGATGCATTTAGAAAATTAAGAAAACATCTAATAATATTTATTAAAGCATCAGAGTTTTTGTTTAATAATCCATTTATGTTTCCTGAAGAAAAAATAAATAGAATAGCTAGCATTAAAGCTATTATTGATGTATATAAAAAATCATTAGCTAATATTTTTAAAATATCACAAAAAAATATTGATTTTATTCAACAAAGTTTATCAGATATGATGCTTGTTTATCAGACAGAAGAAGAAAAAAAATTTTTTAGATATCATAACAAATGTTTTGATTAATGTAGATTTGAGCATAGAAGATATTAATGAGAATGAGATAAAAAATATGTTTAATTCATTTGATTTTAATTTTTAAATACATATATAATATAATAACAATAAAATAAAATAAAATAAATTAAACTATATGTTTCTATTAATTTTTTTAAAGTAAAAGCTGCATCTGCAGCATCAATAACTTCTGGTTTTAATTTATCTATATGAATGCTAATTTCACGTAAAAGATTTGGTGGCATTGATTTAACAAGATTAACAAGTTTAGTAATATTAATATTATTATTATTTAATTTTTTTTTATTATCAGAAGTTTGAGTTTTTAAAAGTTTATTTTCTTTATCGATTTTTTCTTTTTCTTTTTTTAAAGAATTATAGTTAGTTAAAAGTTTATCATGATTAGTTTTTAAAGATTTATTTTCTTTAATTAAATCTTGTAAATCTTCTAATTCTTTTTTTACTTTGTTAGTATTTTTATGTGCTTGGTTATATTTTATATTTAAATTTTTTTGATCATTTTTTAGTTTTTTTATTTCATTATTTTTTTTTTAATAAATCATTTAAGTCACCAATTTTTTTATTATACTTATTTTCAAAGGTTTTAACAATTTTTTCTAATTTTTTCTTCTTTTTTTCTTCAACTTTAAGTTGATTTTCAAGAGTTTTGTTTTTTTTGATAAGTTCATTTATTTGTTTCAATAGTTTTTTTTTCATTCTGAGTGATTTTTTTAGTTTTTTTATGTATGTCTTTTTCTTTTTTTAATTTTTCCTTTTCAGTCTTATAAAGATTTCTCATTTTTTCATGATGAAGTTTTTCAGATTTTAATTTTTCTTTGGTTATACTATGATTTTCTTTTTCTTTTTCTAATTTTTCTAAAGTATTTTTATATTTTTTTTTATATTTTTCAATTTCAGTATTTTTTGTTTTATTATCATTAATATGTTTCTTGTTTATTTTTTCAATTTCTTTTTGATATATTTGTTTCGTTTCTTTAATAATATTTTCTAATTTATTTTTTGTTTTTTTATGTTCTTTTTTTTTTTTTCTAATTTTTTTTTTGTTATCTCATGAGCTTTAATTTTATTAAGATATTGCTAATGTTCTTTTTTTAATTGTTTTTGAAGTTCTTTATTCAAGTTAGATTCTTTGATGAATTTATTATAAAATTCATCAAGTTTCTTTTTGGTATCATTATGTTTTTTAATTTCATCATCTAGATTAACTTCTTTTTCTGTTAAAAGTTTTTTATTGTTTTGATATATAGAATTTGTTTGATTATATAAATTTCTAAGATTTGTTATTTGTGATTGAATAGTTGAAAGTTGTGTTTTTAAATTATTTAAATTAGCAAAATAAGAGTTTGCATTTTTATTATGATATCCAAAGGTATTATTATAATGATAAGTATTATTATAAAGTTTAGTATAATAAAGATTTGTTCTTGTCTATCCAAACAATAAATTATAAAGAAGCAAAGAACCATTTTGATAAGAATTTAAAAAATATTTTTTTATTAAAATTCTTGAGTATATGAATAAACAATTAAACAAACAAGTAAAATTAAAATTATTGAAGAAATTATTAATATTTCTAAATAGATTAATAATATATTTATATAAGTTATTTATATTGTTAATATAAAATAAAGTTTAATATAAATTTAAATATAAAAAGAAACATTTTGTATATTATTTTTATTAAAAATGTCAACTTCTACTGAATCTTCAAATTTACAAACACCAATTCAACCTGATCCTGTTATTCAAACATATACATTTCAACAAAAACAAAGTATTCTTACATTGGCTGCAAGAATTAAAAAATTTCTTAGAAATAAAAACAGAGAAATTAAAACATGACAAGATAATTACAATAAATTATTAAAGCAATTAGGTGATATTGCTTCAACTGTAGAAAAAGCTGTTCAAGATGCATTAAAAAATTTAAAACTCGATACTGATTTACAAGTGATTAAAGATGCAATTAATAAAATTGATAATGAAGAAGTTAAAAATCTTATTAATTCCAAAACAAATAAAATATTACAAAAATTTAGTGATGTTCAGGTACTGAATTTCTTTGCGATACAATTGGCTGGCTTCGATTAATTATTCAAAATAATTCGAAATATTTAAAATAATTTCGGGAAAAATAAAGCAAAAGAAATAGAGATGAGAAAAGCAATTCCTATTTCCAATTCAATCGCCTCAGAAATCTTTGTACTGCAATGATATTATCTTCTCTATTTGAGTCCTTAGGTCGTGTAAATCAAGGGAACCAGGCCCTGTTCTAATTGATGTTGCTGATGCAGAAGAAAGTTTATGAAAACTTATTGCTAATAAAGAAAATTTAAATCTCTAGAAAGACGGATTAATATTGAAAAAAAATAAATGTAGAATTAGACATTATGCAAAAAAATGAAAAAAATTTTATTAGTTATTTTAGTAATTGTATTGTCAATATAATTGTTATAATATATATTTTTATTATAGTAAATTTTTTATTTGATAAAAATATAAAATGTATAATTTTTTAGGTTTTTGGCACTACCAAAAAGTTTATAAATATACTGTATTTATATATTTTATAAATTTAAATAAAATGCTTACTCTAATATTTATTTATGCTATTTTACAATTTTACTATATGATTATATGATGTATCAATATATATCATTGGAATTTTTTTTTAATGAATATTATTATCAAGTTATAATTTATACTACAAGCTTTATAAGTTTAAATATTATACATTTATATTAATATTTGTTTAAGCACAAACTTCATTTAACTTTTCATTTAATAGATATCTATAACTTTAATTATCTGGATAATAAAAGTAATTATAATTAAATTATTTTTTAAATAATATGACTAATCTTATTTTTTTTGTAGTTTTTTATTTTGATAATATATGTTTATATTATACTTGGTTTATTAAATTTATATTTAAAGTATCATTTAGATTATGTCAAAATGAGTTATTATTTTGCTTTAAAAGTTAAAAATTACTATAAATAAACTTCTAAAGTTTTTTTTATTTTAATCATGTCTGATAATAAAAATAATGCAAGTAGTTCTAAAAAATATGAATCAGATAATGCATCAGAAAGTTTAGCTGAAAGTGATTTGGAAACAAAAATAATTATTTTGTTTGATAAAATTAAAAATATATATAAAGCTATTGAAAACAAAGAAAATATTAATTTAGATAAAACAATAAGAATTTTAAAACAAGTTAGTGATTTAACAATAACAAACTATAATAGAGTTTATAAAGAACAAAATGAAACAATTGATGCACTAAAATTAATTAATTTAAATTTGGTGTGTGAAGTACAATATTATAAAGAATGTCTTTGTAAAGAGTTATTACAATCAATTAAAAAGTAATTTAATAAATTACTTAATTTTTTAGTATTTCTTTTTTTAGAATTAAGTTTTATTAAGAAACTTATTTCTTTGATAAAAAACATAATACCAGAGTTTATTCTAAATATACTTAAAACTTTAAATTTTTTTGAAAAAATTCACCCCAAGAATTGGCCAGTTGTATAATATTTTTTTACAAAATTTATACTTTCATTTATATTTTTAATATTATATTTTTTACAATTACCAATTTTACAAACAGTTTGTAACCTTTTAATTATTTATATTATAACAGTCATATTTTTTATTTATTATTTAAATTATTTATTTAATTGTAAACTAACTATAATAGTATTACAAAATAAATAAACAATTATAAATTTATATATATATATTTTTAATCTTATCTTCTTTGATATATATATTTGTTGTAACCTATACAACCACAAATACTACATTGATAGATTCTTTTATTTTGATTTTTACATTTATGTGTTCTAACACTAATTTGAGTTTGTTTGTTAAAACTATACAAAATAACATCTTGCTTATAACATATTAAACAACTTAATTTTCTACTTCTTAATATCTCAGAAGAGACAAAGCATAAGAAAAACAAAAAAAATAGAAAAAAATTTTTTGTTTATACTAAAAGTAAAATTAGATTAGAATAAAAATTATAGAAATTATAAAGTAAAAAAAATAAACCTACTTTATTTATTTAATTTTTTTTAATTAAAAAAAAAGTGATACATATAAATATATATAGAATTTTATTATATACAAAAAAATTTAACTATTTATTCCAAAAGCTTGTACCCAAATATCTTTAGCAAATTCAGCTCCAAAATAGATATAATCTTTATTAATAATTTGTTTTTTATGATCAGAAAAATTTATTCAACTTTTAACTGCTTCTTTTTTATTTTTATAATATTGATCAAGATTTTCTAACTAATATATTCTTTTAATTTTTTTTCATGTATCAGAAATATGATCAAAAATTTTATTTCTTGCAAGATATTCAGCATATTTTTGTACAGCTTCTACTAATTGACTAAAATAAAATTAAAATATATTTATAAAAAGTTTAGATAACAATATACTTACTCATTTAAAACAAGTTTTTAATACTGATTTTTGTTTGTAAATTTTAATAAACATTTTACATTAATTTTTTCTGTTGCATATAATCAACCAAAAATTAATACCCAATATTTATTTTTAAAAGAGGCACCAAAATAATTATAATTTGTATTTAATAAAGTTTTAATATTTTCATTATTATTAATTA